TTATTTTTCAGAAAAATGTATTCAAAATATTTTAACAAACTCTTTGAAATGAAAAAAATTGTTCATTTTGAATAATTTATACAAATTCTTTTTAAGTTATGAGAGAACTAAAAATACTAATTTAGAATATACATATCCTCATCAATATTCTTCTTCTTTCCTTTTTCCTGCCCAGTTTAGCTTTTCAGGCAACAGACTTTATTACCCTTCTGCGGATTTGTAAGTAATTTTGATAAATGTTCTTTTTGAACCCAAATAAATTCTATTATATCAAATATTGAGGGGCACAATTTTTAAGTAAAGAATCAATTATAATTTTAAAGAATCAAGAATAATTTTCTTTTTGATTTTGTTTTTTATATCACCCAAAAGGAATAAAATACACCGAAAGGACTTTCACGTGCAATCACCCCACAAATAAAGAAGACTACCCTTTTTATTTCGGTTAGATAAAAATAAACCTTGTCGATGGCTAATAAATTTCATAGCATATGCATTATAGATAAGAGTACGTTTTATTTTCTTACCCGGAATGATAATTATGTTCCCTGAAATGGCGTCTTATAATCATTATATTATTGAAAATCGTAAAGGAGATAAGGTATACTACGTTTAGCTATGATTTTCTTAGAACGGACATAATCATATAAATAATACGACTATGATGGGTACATACACTGTAAATATATTTTTTTGTTTGATATGGTATAATAAAATATGACGAAAATGTCGTAAATTTGATCGCGCTGATTACTTAAACAAAAAAGTAATTTTATTTCGGGAAATCAAATCTTTATTAAGCCATTAGCTGTAAAATTAATAGTAGAATATCCTGGTGTAGCAAAACAATTTGTACTTTGATGTTTACTAATAAAATATTTAATAATAACGATCATGGGGGTCGAACATAATGATTATATCTATAGCGAACACCTCACTAATTCTAATGGTTTAATTTCTACCCTTTGTGTAAAGTAACACATGTTTTTTTTTCCTCCACAATTTGATGCCACCCATCATTAGGAGATACGCTTCCTGATTAGAGGCACAGTTATTTATACGAATTTGTCATGACTATTATCATTTACAAATTTCTGTTTGAGAAATTTTCTGATTTTTCGAAACGATAGCTGTACAATTATTTAGGAAAAATTAATTTGAACGCAGGACAAACAGGTGAACGCAATTTGAATAGAAAAATAATTAATAGACAGAATAGACGCAAGTAATAATAATAAAACGAAATTAGATGTCATTAGTGTTTTAATGTCCATAAGATAATATTATAATGCTTTATTTAAAAATAATTTTATTTTTTAATTATGATCAAAAGTATTACGCGTTTGATACTGATCAATGATAATACAATATAAAACTTTTGAAATAAAATGTATTTTAATTTTGCATGTCAAAAGTTCCAACGAGGTATGAAGAATGAATCCGATATTAAAGTAACAAATTTCACGGACCACAGCATTTTTGACAAGCCACATTTTTTAAGCAGTTGTGTTTGCTCTCGTCCATCAATAACTTGAAAAAACAACAGAGAGAACACACAATTCGGGATCATCAATTTCGGGTTACATATATGTCAAGAGAAAGAAATAATACGGCTGCCAAAATATAACATTTGCTCAATTATTTGAACATTATACGCCTGTAAAATTTGTTGACTTTGTGCACAAATAATATTTACCAAACAAAATATAACTATACGCGTATATATGTAATTTTATATATTATATTATTATATTTGAATGGGCACTTATCTCTGGTAGAAATAAATTGAGACTCTGATGAAGGTTTTTTTTCTAATTTAACGTAAAAAATATACCTATAATTACTTCAATTACTCAAAAGATGTAAAAGAAGATGTTACCTAAAATGTATTTATAATTTTTAATCCGCGATTATGAAAGCACTATTTAAGTTTTCCGTTTAGTGGGTGTCCGGTAATTACGTGATTGAAACAAGGGGGTGGAGGGAGGGGAGTCAAGACTACTCTTACGACATCTCACAAGTTGGAGAAGGAGAGGGATCAAAAAATCCTCAAGAACTCCTCACATATATATTTGTAGTATATTTTTGTTCATGTGTTGAATTATCAATGTCGTTATATAGCTTAGAAGACTATTAGAAAAAATTGAAAAGCTTGTACTCATACATTAACTTTACTGAATGAAATGACCGACACAAAACCACCCCAAAAGGCCGTTTTTGGTGTTTTTATTGGGGCGGCGGGTTAAATAAAGTGGCAGAATTGTGAAGTATTTGAACGGGGCAAATTCGGACAAGCCAAATGATGGATGGCCTCGTCAAACGGCAGCAAATTGTGTCGAGCTATCGAGAGGACTATCGACTAATGTTTTTGGTAAAATGGAAATTCATTTTCCCCATATATCAATCATGTCACTGGTATACGCACTTCTTTGTCTCTGTCAGTATGTGCGAGCGATGGAAAATACTAGGGAAACAAGCATCTACATTTTTATCCGGAATATAATCTCTCCACTAAATTTGATTAGGGTCTCTTATAGAAATCGTTTTTTTTTCTATGCTTACTTTCCAGTTTTTGAATAATATTTTTTTTTGTATGAGCAATTTAACTCACGTTTGGCCTGTTAGTTAAAATGAATTTTCCCATTTTTTTCCACAGAATCTGCATTCGCCGTTGTTTTTTAGTTTGCATCTACTGAGGTGTTCATTGAGGAGACAGTGTCCTGTTAAAAATGCCTCCGTGCCAATCCGAAGATGATTTTATTAAATAAGTTAATAAGTTCTGAAAAAATTCGAGTGTTTTAGATCGTTAGAGGATTCCGATTCCAAGTTACGGATGGATTCTTCCAGGTTCTTGAGTTCCGCTTTAAGTTGGTTTCCACCTGGGAAGAAGAACCCCTCCTTTGGTGAGTTGGCATCCAGAGTGGAAGGACTTTATTTCCCTTGCCTAATTTATCCAAATTTTGGCATTCTTTGGCATTTTGACTTCCAATTGATGGTTACTGAGTTGATCGCGTTTAATGCAGCTTCGGACTATTATAGCATAAGATGGCTATTTTTTAAAGCATCAGTATTTCACGTTATGGTATGGTTTTTACTTTTTACCTGCTGAGCGAACTTTCTCTCTTCCAGTCCTTATTGCTCAATACTGCACTGAGGTGTTTCTCAAAGTTGTACATTCTTTTTATGTCATCCACTGGGAGTTGGAGGATTGAAATTTTCCTTTTGAGGGTGTTTCCAAGCTCGTGAGCTCTTTTCGTTGTAAACAAAAACGACAGTTTAGATGTAAAACTGAAACTAAATCAGTCCTCTAGGTGGTTTTCTATCTCTATTTTTCATCTACTACGTTTTAGAGTCTGTCTAGCGGGATGCTTCTTGACAGTGACTTCTGTTTGTCATTTTAATTCACAGGCAAATTGTATTTTCTGTCATTTTTTGTATGTCGTCTGTCGAGTTCTCGGACGTAAGGCAAAACGTTAAATGTAGACGGGGCTTAAAAATTGTTAATTTTTTGATGAAATGAAAAATTGTAAATCTGTTATGATTATGCGTTTATTTCGCTTCATCAGTTTTATTATTATGTTCTACGGGTACGTATGACATAACGAATGTAAAAGGATTTCGTTTCAGATTTCACTTTCCCACTCGGAAATAGTATAAGCGCTCGGAAGTGTGCCAGTTACGTAAAAATTGCATGTTTTTGTGGCTTAGTCGAGTACTCCGGCAAATTTAAATAACACACCGGTTGCCGGAGCGGGAGTTTTCGCATAAGAAACATATTTTTCATACTTTATTTTCTATACCTTATAGTTATAAATTAAATCATCTCTTGGAGTAATAATTCTATCGGGAAGATCTCATAAAATACATATCAGGGAGAATAGAGAATGTAGAATGAGTGGAAGGAGGGTTAATCACCGCGACCTGGCAGGTTATTGTGTCCCCCTTTCTTGAGTTATAACTCGTGATACAGTCCCAGGGCTTTGACAAAAGCTAGTGAATCGTTTTACAGAGGGTAGTTCACCATCTTCCATATCGTGTACCAAAGTTTATATGGTTGTCGCCTCGGCGCACTCAGTGATGTGGTGTTCTGGTGTGTTTTCTCCACAGAATTTGCATTCGCCCTTGTTTTTAGCTTCAATCTACTGAGGTATTCATTGAGGAGACAGTGTTCTGTCGAAAACCTCGTGACAGTCGATTCTTCTTACTTAAATCAAGGATTCAGTGAGGGAATTGTAAGGGAAATCAAAACGAGGCACTCTTTGATTCTTTCTGCCAATTTTTTTTCTTGTTATTTGATTGATTTTTTAATTTTTATAAATTTAGTTTTTTAAATTAGTTAATTAGTACTATTCAAAGTATATAAATTGAGACATTTTGTAAAGTATTTAATACATTTATTATAGATATTTAATTAGTGTGACAAAACGATTTTCACAAAATTAGTTTTCCGTATTTATAAACTTAATGAAAAATAAACTATAAATAGAGTTTTGTTGTAAAACTTCACTAATCACAATACTGTAGTTGATAAAACAGCTGGTAAAAGTTCCAGTATATACGCTCGTTTTTTAGTGACAAGTATTACGTTTTGTGTAGACGGGACTTGACAGTTATTCCGTGTCTAAAAAAATATTGAGCACATTTTTCTTTGTAAAGAGGTAAATTAAATTAATTTTTGATTAAAAATAATTTGTATTAAATGGAGCTCTTTGAAAAAAAAATATATATATATTAAATTCTTTTGAAGATTTCGTTTTTCGTTCAGTCAAAATAATATTTCTCGTTTAGCATAATTCATAATTCCTTTGAGAAGAAAAATAAACAATTTTATGTCGGAATTCGAAGCAGCAAAGCGGTCAGCCGCACACAAATCCAAATTGTTTTGCCTTTATTTCGGTAATTGCTCGATGACCTTCCGACCTTTCATGACGTTGTTTTCCCAGTAGAATATGATACGAAAAGGAACAATTTTAAGCTTTGGGATTTACCGCGGCTGTGCAAAAATTCCCATTCCGTTTTCGCTTTCACTAGTGCACCAGGCTGGTCTACGCTGCCGTGTATATACAAAGGCTGTTCCACAGAGAGGGGAGCTCCTTAAAAAATTACAAGGTGAGCGAGAACACCGGCCACACTTTAAACAATCAGTTTAAACAATATTTGAGTCACACACGATGTTGGACAAAACTCGCGTATCAGACCAGTGCAGGAAAAAATAAGAATAAATGACCAACATGGTCCTGACCGGTACCCAAGTGGTTCGGATAGTTTTCGCTATTTGTTTCGTGCTGCTGGTGACGTCCGACTATTCAGCCCTTATCAACAAGCTCATTGGTGGAAACAAGACTGAGGAGACCAAGCACGGGCCACCCAGGCCGACCAACCCAGGATATGGCGATTCCAAGGCTGATATTGACATAGATGCGGACATCGAAGAAGAAACAGTGAAACATCTGGGTAGGTAGACATTCAAGGATTTTAAAGAAACCATTGTTATTAAGCTATTTTCACGGTTCCTCTTATAATTTATTTTTTATAAAAAATCACAAGAACAATATGCCTGCACTGATATTTAATTCAAGGTTGTATCTAATTCCAGTATTTAGAGATCTTAAAAATTCAAACAATTAAAACATTATCATATTTTTTTTAGATATGAGATGATATACTCGATTTTTAAAAGGACTAAATTATGTATTTTATTAGTTTTGGTTATATTTCTCCTTTCCAATAATTAGCATTTTTCTGGATTATTATTATTTATTTATTATTTTCAATTAAATCAAGGGGGGGATTCGTACTATATCATAGCAATTGGAATAAGTTTTTCAGGCTAGAAGATGAAAAGACCAATCTCTCAGAAAAATATAATTTTGCTTAACGAATTATATAGCTATTATATTTTTTAATTCGAATAATTATAGAATATATTTCAATAAAATATTTAACAGTATTTGCAAGTAATAAATGTTTATAATGGCACTTGCTTACTGATTGCTTAATGTCACATATTTCCGCAGTTAAAGTATTAAAATGTTTTCGAAAATGGATTTATTAAATAATCATCAATTAATAATTAATTGATTACACGTTATTACAGTGAGGTTTAAATGTAACCTTGTAATACTTTTCGCTTTTCAATAAGTTCATATATTAATGACGCGGACTATTAAGAAACAATTACACACCACATCAACGTATTTTTTGTTTTTTTAGCAACGCAATCAACCAGGTCTCAAATATTGCAGACGATTAAAAACGCTTGTTTGCCCAAGCTAATTTGTGAATTGACTGCTACACCTCAAAAAGATAAATTGAGTGAAACAGAAAAGTCACTATTAAGCCTCTTGAGGTGAGTATATATCGAGATTCTGATTAAAAATAAACCAAAATAAAAATTGTCACGCTTAATATGTCACAGAATAAGATATATTTAATATAGTGATTTCTTATTCTGCTTTAATATTAACTAATTTAACTGAAGGACTATTTAAACATGGCAATTTCAAACAGAATGTTACTTCACCATCGTTAAACATATTTCAAAAAGTGTTACAAGCACGTAATAGTTTGGTTAGTCGAGTACTTTCCCTCAATGCTGTAAGAGCATACGTTCGACATAATCATAGGTGGCCTGTAAATTTTACTTATTATATACTTTAATTGTTGTTTTTCATTTTTCCTTTTTTTCTTAAAATGTCATGTAATTATTACACTTTGATTTGGTTTTCTGATAATTAAAATATAATCAGATGTTTTTTTGTATTTGCATATTTTGTCAAATTTATCATCCATAACTAAATAGATAGAGCTATAAACATAATTAAGCTCATCAGGAAATGAATTAATTCGTTACATAAGTGGAATTGGTGGTTTCTTCAATGTGTTATGTAAAAGCTCCATTGTATTCGCTAAATTAATGTATTGTTAGAATTTCAGTTGAACCTTGAAAAAGTTTCTTTTGTAGTCAGTAGCCTTGAAATTATCTTAAAAATGTACATTATTTCCATGTATTCTCTGGAAAAAATTCATAGATGTCTTAAAATATTTAATTAATTGAAATAATAATATAATTCTGGCCTGAAAAACCATACCATAATTCTTCAGCTAATGGTTTACACTGATGAGCACGTGCCATCCACTTCAAAAATACCCAATATCGTAAAATGTCCTGGTTATAGTTAGATTTAGACACTTTAAATATTTTTTGGTAAGAAAACTTTTATCCTTTTTTTCCTTCGGAAGTGGATGAAATACTTCCGAAGGATTCAGTATCGAAAGTGTTCATGTTGTAGTTAGATTTTGATATTTTGAATATTATTGGTGAGAATAATTTTACTCCGTACTATATTTATGATCTCCCCAACCCAATACTATACTTCTTCAGTTAATGATGCTTTGTTGATAGACATATACCATCCACTTTCAAGGGACTCAGTATCGAAAATGTCCATTTTATAATTAGATTTTGATATTTTGAATATTTTTGGTAAGATTTATTTTATTGCATAGTAGATTTATGACCTCTAACACAATATCATTCTTCTTCAGCTAATGGTTCACTGCTGATGGGTATATGCTCTCCACTTTCAAGGGCTCTAGTATCGAAAATGTTCATATTGTAGTTAGATTTTGATATTTTGAATATTTTTGCAGTTAATGATGATACATTGATGGACAATATAATTCTGTGTTGAATAATCTTCTTCCACAATATATGCCTCCTTTATTATATTTCTTTAGTTATTGGTTTACTGGTGAAACCCGAAATGTTGAAATATTTTTACATGCAAAATGTGTCAGGAAGCCTGTTTAGCAAAGTAGAATTAAATGAGTTCAGATATGATTAAAAGAAATATTAAAAATTGAATTAAATTATTCCAATTTGTATTATGTATATTAAGATCCATTTAATTAACGTGTATTTGCTATATAGGCACGCCACTGGTGATATCTTTTTATTTCTCTTCCGATATTGTTTCTGCTGGCAAAAGAGGACCTTACAAAACCTGACTAATGATTTTTCAGGGAGACAACCATAAGCACTACGGCCGAATTGACCTCGAAATACCACTTTGCCGCTCACATGGGCCAGCTAATCGCAGGAGTGGACGGAAATGGTTGCCATAACTTTTATCCAACATGTCCTTTCCCCGGATTGCAGGTTCTTCAGATGATGAAAAAAGTCAGAATGCGCTGAACTAAGATCGGGCAGTTTTTGGACCGCAGTCTCGCTGTTTTTGTGGGCCTGGCTACTTATACAGCGCGAATCTCCGACTAAGAAACAAATCTAGCATCAGACAAACACTTAAACTAACGAGAAAAATACAATTAACAAGAACATAATTTTTATCAATAAAAAATGAGAAAAAAATCGATTATTTTATAAAAGGAGGCCAGATGATATTTTTTTTTCGGTTGAACGAATCTTATTGTGATATTAGGTTCTTTTTTTGTTATTAAAGAACATTAAGTTAAGTTAAATTTGTAAGAGATGTAAATATATATATTTATAAAAGTAAATTTTGGCAGTTATTTATTTAAATAATAAATTTTAGTCCATTGTGTTTAATATTCATGTAAAATATGATTCCTTATTTTTAGTAAAATTAATAAACTTGTTATTTTTGTTTATAAAATTAATAAGATCCGCACTAGGATCTCAAAAAAAAAACGAAATATTGTGAAATATAATTAATGCCTCTTTCGTTTATTTGAAGAGATATTTTAATATAATTGGCATATCATCATTGTCACTTTTTCCTCTTTATAAAATGGTGCTATGAGTCAAATCCGAATCACCTTCGAGTTTTATACACCATATACAGAAACCTTTATCTAAAATTATTATTCATGTGAAATTATATTATATATCATGTGTATAACATTCTTTTTCTGCATTAAAATACATAAGAGCTGATTACAGCGTTAATATCTAAGGATGAAAAAAAAGAAATGTAAACAGATAAATTAGATGATTTGAAGGTGTAGATAAAACTTTTAATTTTCAACTAACTGTTGCTGCATATTTGAAAAAGGCACCATAAAAACTCGGACCCGAGCTTATTTATGTTAATGAACGTAGCTTTTGTACATTTTCGCCTGAAATTAACCTAAAATATACTGATATAAAACGGGAAAGCGCGATGGAGATGTTGTAATTCTTCTGGAGAAAATAAATTCAAATATAGCGCAAGGAACTTTATGTCTTCTTTGCATAAAAACAAAGAAGTCGCTCACAGAACATCCTCATGAATACATTTCCGAACTATTTCTCCTTCAGGAATTACGGGTTTTTATTTTTGGTATAAAATTTTATATTCGGTGTACTCAATTGAAATTAACAGTTTTTCTCCCAAATCATTGAGACGTCAGTAATAGAAAATGTGTTGTTACCAAACATAATAATACACGAGGAGTTGTTTCTCTTAAAAAAAATCTTAAAAAAAATCTTTAAAAAATTATTATAAAAGTATTTAAGCCCCCATTTTAGTGTTTATATATTCTGAATCTACATAAAATTTACTATAACTCCTGCAATTTTCTTAAGTTTATCTCAATATTTAAGTACCTTGAACAGGAGTAACAAAAATTGCTAAAGATAACTATTTTTAGACTTTTTTTTGAGTCACGAAAATTGACGGTTTTAATCAAGTCACCGATTTTGATAAAATTGCTAATAAAAAGGTTTAGAATAAGAAAATATGGTTTTTTTGCTCTTGAAAACATGGAATGAAAAAATCGATTTTCTCACCAAAATAAAAAAACTATGGATTTTAAGGGTTAACAGGCTCTTAATGTACAGAAAATTCCCTACAATTCCTCATTTCTCATAATTTTATCATTCTTTAATATACTTTCAGGCTCAAGCAAAAAAGTGCCAAAAAATGGGCTATTTTCCACATTTTACCTACATACTAATGAAAATTGACGATTTTGGTTAAGTCACCGATTTTGATAAAACTGCTATTATTTATTAATAAACAGATGTAGAATAAGAAAATAGAGTCCATTTTGGTCTAAAAAGTACGGGACTTTATGTAGGCAAACTTTTAACCACCACCAAATATCATTCGTGCAAAAACCATGGGTTCAAAAAATTGATTTTTTGAACAAAACCTACAATTTTGGTTGGTTAGTTTGGTTTAGCCTTTAACGGTTAACATTCTCTAGAAATACATAAAATTTCCTACAAATCCTTCCATTTCCATAATTTTGTCACTCTGTATAATATAATAAAAATATAATAAATACTTTCCGGCTCCTTGAAATGGAGTAAAAAATTGCCAAAATGGGTTATTTTTCGACATTTTTCCATATATTCCTGTAAATTTAAAAAAAAAATTAAATTCACCAAAAATCTTTAAAAAAATGGGTTGAAAAAATCAAATTTTCAGCTTGAGCTGGTTTTTCCTCAAATACTGAAATCTTTATCATTTTTTACTGTTTTTGGTATTTTTCTAAGTCTTTTAAAAGGGGTAAAAAAGATCAAGTAAAAATTGACTAGGTGACCCGATTAGGCTACAACTGCAGTGTTAATCTTTTTTGACCGAACAATTTTATTGCTAGATGTAAAAGAAGTTAGGCGCCACTAAGAAAAGTATCAGAAATGAATTCTAAGATTTTTAGAAATATATTTTCTCATAAAATAAAAGCAAGCAGCATTTAAGCACATTGTTTTTGATGCAAGTCATTAAGAAACGCAACTGTAGTTTATTATTTGCTTTTTTATACTACTCCCCAACGACATAGCCAATTTTTTTCCAATAATGTATTAATCAATAAGGAAAGTGAATTACAAAATAGATATACGTGAAGTAATAGAAGCCCAAATAAAAACCAATAATCGAGTAAATTCGTTAAGTCAGGTCATCAATATTCACTTTAGCCCTACTTAAAAGTCACCTGGACTGAAATAGCGACCTATTACTTAACAGCTTGTTATTTAATTAGACATATTTTGAATATTAAAAGAAGTGCCCTCCACTAAACTAACTGTTTCGGCTTAAGAGGTGGTCACTTTCACTCTTATACTAAGTAACGGACTTTATTCTTTGGCACTGTTTTGTCCGCGACTCTTAAAATACCTATTACCAGCAAAAAATTTAGTTCATAACTATAATTAAATAATTCAGAATGAAGTTTCGGAATTTGACGTTTGTGCTCTATTTTTTAACGCATAGTGTTATTCTGGTTTTGGATAAAAAATGCGTTGTCGCTCAAGAACCGATCTTCGAACTGCCTATTGAATTAGTGGGATTTCCTGTGATTATTGTGGCAGTGAGATTATCTAATTTTGTCAAAAAATTAGCGTATTCTTTAAATCCGAGTAAGTATGTTTTTTTATTATACATTTCTATAGTATTTATTTTTATTTATATTTTTCTGTATAATAATTGTGAATAACCTCAGGAAAATTGCCCTAGTTCTTGTTTATAACCTCATATCCTATTCTTTGTTGATGCGAAGGTCATCCACTTTCATTTTGTCTAAGAAGGAAAAAATACAGACGGTAATGTTTGGATAAAATATGTACGACATTTTAGATAAAGACACACCTTTTTAATTAATGTATATTTTTTTATAAATTGCTATGTCGAGTTTTTTTCGTTCATTTTATTAGATATTGTATATTTTGTAATACATTTTAAGCCTTTGCAAGTTATTGGTAAAGACGTTAAATAGGATTTTGATTATTTTGTTCTTGGTATAACTGTTGGAGAGAACATAAGGGCTATTTTTAGTAGGGTAGTATTGTTTTAACTGGTTTTTACCAGTCAACTGGGTTTCGTTGTATTTATTGGATGGGTCGTTTTAAATTATTATTGTTCCAGAAACTTATGCCAGTAAAAGAGTTCGCAGAGGCATTACAGACGAAGAAATGATTAACATGGTCGAAGCTGAAAAACGGTTAGTTACGGAACTTGGCGAGAACGTCTGTATTTATCCAAAAGTTTGCCTTCATCATGCTGAAAGGGCACGAAAATCAGGCCCTCAAGAAGTCAAAGTTGATTGGGATGAAGTTTTTAAGTAAGTTGGACCTTTTCACTTGTTAGATCTGTATTAAAAAAATCGTCTCAAAACAGATTTGCGTCTGTTAGTGTTTTTTAGTGACGAAAATTACCATAAAAAACTCCAGGATGTTATAAGCACCGCCTAATTTATTCTATTTCCGTTTTTTAATTTTTCAATTGACATGTAAACACAGATGGAAACAAACGTTAAACTAGAAGATAACAATCTCGAGAAGGGTTGTGGCATCAATTAATTAAACCTAATTAAAACAAATTAAGGATATTAATTAACAACACGAAATTATGCAAAACACGATGCATTTTTAAACGGCATATGTAAATTTCGTTTGATTTCTTTCTTAAATGTCATTAATTAATTAATTATGTAGTAGAAAATATGTACTCACGCAATTTTTGAACGTGCATTATTATGAGTAAATTAATGCGGAACTAGGAATATTTTGGTGGATATGAAAGTAACTGACATAACGAAATTTCTTTTGCAGTAATTACAAGGCGTCAAAAGAAAAACAGAAGGAGTATTATTTCCTTAGTGTCTTCCTTGGTGATTTTATTGCTTCCCCGAGGTTCTGTAATCAGCTAGTCAAGAGAGGAAGAATATGCCAGGATTAACAAAATTTTCAAGATATTATCAAGACTTTTTTTTAAATATTCATTTGAGGAGGATAGTGTCATGTCATAAAACTTTGCTCGTGTTAAACCAAAAATTAGTGAAATGGTTAGAATGTAAGAAAAATATTCTTTGTGTTGTAATAATACTCTTTATTTCCTTTATTTAGCATTATATAAATAAAAATAATTTAATTTATTTTTTTAAAAGGAAACTAATTAATCGTACATTTTTTAAATTAGTTTTTAAAAAAATCATGTGTTTTTGTAAATAATTTTCGCACGCTTTCTAATCATTAAATTAAAAAAAAAACAATAGCTTAGACAATAAAGTTACTACAATAAATATAATAATAAATAAATATTATAATTTTGGTACAGTTTTTGTTACTTTATGGTTATAGCTAATTACACATAAAGGGCTCATAATTTTAGTATTAAGCACTCTATTTATGCTAAGTTATTTGTGCTAGTTAAATTTCACATTTCAATTATTGTAATACTATTTCTGCGCCTACTATGATGTCATGTTTCATTTATTTTTAAGGCACTCAGGGTCAAAGATTCATATGCAGAACATCTTTTCTAAATCAAAATATTAACTAGAACACTTAGAATAACTTATTCTCTAGGAAAATGTAAACTATTTAATTGCCTTCCACCTCTACCATTAGGAAAACTGTCATAGAGCAAATCTCGGTATGTATTTTCGTCATAAGCCAGAGAATCCTGATAATTCTTTTCCAGATCAACTAAGTCCAGCTTTAGTTCACCCGTTCCAGTCCTATCTGGAAAAATATTAGGGCTTGGTCTATGATTAGGCAAGGGTCTTTGAATATCTAAAATATTATCTCCTATTTGGATAGATTCCTGGTTAAATTTTAACTTTTTTCCTACTCTGTATGGATATTCGTTACTATAATAACTGTTTGATGGATACCTTACATTGTAATTTTCTGTGTTGTATGTGAGTTCACTTCCCAATTCTGGAAACTTTAATTTTTTACTTTTTAACGTTTCTGAAAGGAATGGTGTAGAATGAGCTGAGTTATCTTCTACATCAGGGAACACAACAGTCTTTGTTTCACTGTGAGGGTATTTTAAAGGTACAGGCTCTGCTAAATATGGAAAATTAAATCCTTTTCCGGTCTTGTAATAATCTTGAGGCTCGCTGTAACTATTTACATATTCAGAAGGTTTTGTCTGAATCCTTTTTTCAGCGAAATTCTGTTTTCCAAAGTACCCTGGTCTGTATTTGTTAAAATACTGAGCGTAATTTTGATTGTAGTTCGGGTTTTGGGAATTTAACCCTTGGAAAAATCTAAAGAACCCTCCGTTGTGGTTATTTAAATACTGCACAAGCCTGATTGGATCACTAGGACAGCGAGGGTAAGCTATGTCGCATTTTCTTGTGTTTCCTTTTGATGCAAAACCCAAAAAAGCAGCTTTTCCAAAATGAAGAACTGGTGACATATTGGCACTGTCCACTCCAGACACTAGTCTAAAATTTATTTGTATAAGCATGTAACTATGTAATTATGTAGCATACATAAAAAAAAATGGCGTCATATTAGCCTCTGAAATGAAAATTAATAATACAGAACTTCATTGATTGTTATTTCAAATGCTACTATGACACTGTTTTTTTTTCGTTGTCATTACTATAATTATTAGAGTTACTTACAGTAAAAGGGAGTCTAAGTTTAGATTGATTGGTAAGGCTTGTCTTCCTGTTAAACCTCCAGCTGTGATGTCGCATAATAATTTTGGAACACACTGCAAATCATCGTTCTGAGCTATAGAGAATAGTGCATCCATTACAGATTGACGAGTGTTTTGAACAAACTGTGGTGAAGGGAAATAAGGATAATCTCTGTAGGGCTTGTGATTTGCATCAAAAACTTCGTTGGTATTAGTATAGTCATGAGGATACCCATACTGTTGCTTATAGGGCTTATAACCTTGGTAGTATGAGGGATATCTGTTTGGATTTTGATAGTAATTTTGATGATATAGTCCACTCTGTCTACCTTGAATGGCTACATTAGATAATTCTCTAAAAAAGTGGTTTAGTCGTTTTAAAATGCAAAATTTTTTAAATTATTGGTACTCACAATAACACATCAGCAGCCTCATTATCTGTAGAATTAACATTGGATATTGTTACACCCTCACTAATAAGAGTTACACTAAACATACATATCAGACTTAATTTTAAATACATTTTGATAAACGTATAACCGATCTGTTCAGAAGTTTAGGAGTAAATGTTGGATAAATCTGAAAAGTTCCTATAAAATTTCACTTAAGAAAGTTAAGGTAGGTGAAGAAGATAGCCCACGCCGACATTTGCGAATTTATAATTTTTATTTGAATACTTTCATTTGCCAAATATAAAAGCTGATTTGTCTATATAGAATTATGCGTAATAGAATTGGTTTTCCCAATTGACAGGGCGCCACCTACATGTTTTTTAACTGGTTTGAAGAGTAATAACTTTTCGTCCGTACCTGTATAAAACTACTGAATAAAAAAATATACATTTGCGACGTTTTTTACGAAAAAATGTCTCTTGGTAAAAATCGCTACGAGTATTGGTTTTCGAGATATTTGGAATCGAAATTATCAAAACCTGTCATGATTGACATAAATTTAACATGTTGACTAAATAGTTATTAGACGGAAATCATAAATTTGAAATGTTTTTGTGACAAAAGTTCAACAGAAACTGTTTTATTATCATATTTTGCAGAAAAATTTATGATTAATTTAAAAAAATAAAAATTTCCCAAATTTATTATTTCAGTGAAATAACTATCTACTCAACCTGTTTATTTTTCGTCAATAATGACATGTACTGACTATTTCCATTCTAAATATCTTAAGAACGGTTGCTCGTAACGATTTTTACAAAGAGATATTTTTTACGTAAAAAGTCACAGAGATGTATATTTTTTTCACTCGGTAGTTTTATACAGGTGTGGCCAAAAAGTTATTATGCTTCAAACAGTTAAATACATGTAGGTGGCGTCCTCTACTAGTAGGAGTGATATTGACATCAAAATCAAATTTCTCATGTCAAAAAACTCCCAGACACCAATTTTCATCCAAATATTGAGGTTACTTCAGAAATTATTTAGAAAATATCGAAATAAAAATGAAACTTCTACACCCTGTATCTCTGAAACTAAGCATTTTAGGACATTTGTTTTATCTGCAGAATATGTTGCCGAAGTTTCCGGAATACAGTTCGGACCACCCTGTATAAGAATAAGTTCTGGAGTATACCATCTCTGCTCTTATAATACCGACAAAAAAGATAACTATCAACCATCGAGAAAAAACGCTTCTTGAAGAAAAAGTGGTTTCTAAATTCATTACTTTGTTAAATCACTCTACAGGATGAATAGAGGAACATTTTGTTTTCCCTCGTATAATGGATACATTAATTATTAATTTAAAAAGATACCTAAAAGTCAAATAATATAGCTACAAATTGCTTAAAAATCTAAAACAACGGCTCATTAGAATAAAATATACTGAAGTTCAGTGTATCTTTTGTAACTGCTGATTTTTGACATCACTTTAATTATTTGACACTCTAATTTTACTGATATTTTCATATACGTATTAAAGTGATTTTTTTATCCTTGTTGCTGATCGAATCATATTGGAGATATTGAAAGTTATAGAGATGAAGGCAGCGATATGTGAAATTGCTTATAGGATAGGGCGAATATACCTGTATATTATACCGCCGAGCTTATAAAAAGGCATTTAGGCGAACAAAGTGATATGAATTCTGGATGCCCTGAGCCCATTCGATTTGCGAAAAGAACAATAACAAAAAACTTGGCGGTAAGCCCTGAGCCCTCTGAGCGGATTTGTATAGTATTAAGGGATGAGCGGAAATCTGGGGGTGGATCTGAACGTGTCGCTGGCACTTTGAAGTTCGCCACTGTCAAAGAAATCTTTTGTCATCTGTTACTTATTATTACGTTCATTTGGGCCTTTGCGCCTCTCTGCGCCATGCCGATGAATTACCACTTCCCGCTTTTTAATTATAGAGAAACCTTTGATATTAATTCTCCGTTTTAAATCGAAAATCCCTAACCCTATACCGCCGATCTGCTGTTCTGCTTTCAGGGATGAGTAAAATTCATAGTAAATATATTCATATTAAGTCAAAAAAAGTGCGTTTATATGTTATATTTGTTTACGGCCTTAAATTGATTAATATAACAGTAGTATTGCTTGATGAGCAATACGGTAATGATGTAATGAGGTAACATCATCAAATGTCGAGCTGACTGGGTGAATAATTGATTGACACGATGTCAACAAAAATATGGTCCACGGACATTTTTTAAAAGCAATGTTCTCTTATTGTTTTTAATAGAAAACTGTAAAGGATACTTTTGTTAGCACCCAGCATGGTTTGATATAAATCAATTCAAAAATAAGAAATAATTGGGCGATATTTTAAATAGTTTAACACCGTGGATCACTGTTGCCCTGCAGTTTTACGATTTTAAGTTTGGAAATATTTTTTTTACTATATCGCATTTAATAATATTAAACAATGGTTAAAACTAAATATTCTTGTATAACCTTAGAGGAATAGCTAATTTAATCTCCCATGTGTAACTCTTTTCGAAATGCACTGTTTAATATTTAAATATTTCCAGAAAAATTTCGTGAAACATTTCGAGCATAGTGTAGAGGGTGTTTTCAAATTGCAATCGGAATATGAAATATGTATTGTCATATTATTTCGAATATAGTCAGCAAAAAGTAAAAATGAAATCAGAGAAATACCTTTATTTCGAAATATATATTCGGAAGTAATTTCGAAAACATTTTAATATTAGAACTATATTGGAATTAAGAAATAAGTGTGCGTAAAAAATTGACAATTTGCTACGCACCCATCCCTGTCCGCAGCCCATCAAACAGTCCTGCGAATTCCTTTTAGGCTCCCCTTTTGTTTTTCACACCGCCTTGTTATGTAATGCGTTGACTTTTAAAATTTAATTAATTCCGTTTTATAGAGAAATATGCAGAAGCCACACACCGTATGGATCCCGCATATAAAGCGCTCTGTTTTATTCACACGTGAGTTCCTCCCTAATGAAAAATGACATTTCATTAATATCGGCGCCAACGTTCAAATATGTCAAAGGAGCTAATTATTATTTCCACATATATTATTCCGCATTCGATAAATTCTCATTTAACATAGAACGTATATGAGAAATATAGGAAAACTATGATTGAGGTACATTTTTGGAGTAGTTAAATATTTCTAGATTAAGTGATTAATAATGAATTATGTATCGTTTCTAAATTTTCAATGTAAAATAACAAGGTTATTTTGGACTTATTTGAAAAACCGTAGGGAGGAAAGTCTACCAGCCCTAAAAATTGGTGCAGTTACATAAGACTCGCTCTGATTTGATGCAACGAAAATGTCGAACGAAGCACTGTATATACAAAAAAATCGTAATGAAAAATTATTTTCAATAAATTTTGAACATTCTGTACAATTTACAATTACCCTGTTTTTAATGAAGGTTTTAAGTACAGATTTTATTTCAGGACTTGAAATTAAATAGAGTGCAACATGTATTTTTTTTTATTTATACAAGGTGTCCCAGAAATAAGTGCAAGTATTTTAACTGGTAGTACAGTTCAACCCCAGAAACACGCCTGTAAGGTTTTTCTCGAGAAAATTTTTTTTTAAAAATTCGGAATTTTTTGAAAAATTTTTTGGATTTTTTTTTAGTTTTTAGTTAAAAAACTTAATTTCTTGATAATATGGCAACATAGGTAGTAGATTAAATTTACAAGAAAAAAAATCCAGAAAAGATCCAAAATTTGAGCAAAAAATCATTTTTTTTAAATTTCAGAGTAAAATAACTCCGTTATTTTGGACTTATTTGAAAAACGGTAAAGAGAAAATATGTTTCTTTTATCGAGATCTACCACCCCTTAAAATACTTGCACTTATTTCTGGGACACCCTGTATATAAATCCGATTTTTTTAGTAAGGTTCTATATACAGACACTTTACATAAACACTGTGGTTGACGTTTGAAAAATTCGAAACTTTATCTAACAGCACGGAGAGGCTCAGCTCAACCCTTTCGCCACTTAAAGAATGAAACGTTAAGGGCAAGCGTTCGATGTGTGTAACTAATCGGCCACGCAAAACAGTCATCTTGAACACCGTATTTACATATCTATCAAACACAGGGTTTCAAAGGGTTATCGCGCACTAAGCAAGAATAATTAGATGATTGAAACCGGCATTTTGTATCAGTCAACCGCACACTATTTGCTAATTGCAAACAATTAATTACGGCGTCACGTGATGACACCGCCCCGGCCAACTATTGTTCCCTATCTATGGTCGGTATCGGCCACAGTTGACAGACATTAAAGAAATCTGTATTTGTTTAAGGACACATTTAAGCTGTCTGTAATTTTTTCAATTATTAATAAAATTATTTACAACCGATTATATTAGAACGAACAGATAAATATATAGATAGCCCAAATACAAGGGTTCAGTAAATTAATTTTCTAGCCAAACGAAGGTAGCTAGAAGGAAGTTTTCGAAGGTTTATATATTCTCAATCTGAATAAAATTTCCTACAAACGGATATTTTTATAATTTTAGGATCATGTTTACTATTTTTCTAATACCTTTGAAAATGGTTAAAAATTAGTCAAAAATGGGAGTTTTTTCGACTTTTTTCCATACATAGTCACAAAAATTGACGATTTTCGTTATGTTACGGATTTTGATAAGATTGCTATTTACTAATTAAAAGGCACAGAACAAGAAAATATAGGCCATTGCAGTCTTACTGAAACAGTAATGGATGTAAAGGACGTTATAACCATCATCAAAAATAGCCAGGGTCAAACAAAGGTCCAATAATATATTTTTTCCACAAAACTAAGGTATCTAAGCCTTTTGCGATGTATATTTTATATTCTGAATCTACATAAAATTTTCTACAAATACTGAATTTTTAAAGTTTTAGCAATTTTTTAGCTATCTTTCTGAAACCTTTGGAAATTTGGAAAAATTGGAATTTGTTTTTTTGTGTGTGTAGTGTTCAAGGAAATTCTTTACTATGTGAAAAATAAATGTCTTACTTAATTTGTATTGCTTCAATTGTTAATTTCTTTAAAATTGGCTAAATGTTTGAGGAAGAATTAACTACATACTAAAAAATTCTGACCACAGAAATATCGTACAAAAACAAGGAAAAATCACCAGTCGTCTATCTTCCCTATCCCTCTGTTCAATTTTTGGTTGTGT